ATTTGGAAATCCTCTAAGATTAACAATAAATATAAAGGAACCTCTATTAAAAAGGAAATATTCCTCAATTTTGACAAGGGAATATCCTTGAAAGGCCTGCATCGTGTCCCGTGGAACAGTTCAGGTGCGATTCAGGAGGGATAATCGGGTTTATTCGAGAGGGTTTTAATGAAAGCCATCAGTCACGTCACCGCTGCCTGGTGCCCGGTACCCATTGTGAAGTTTGCTAGCAGTACGTACCTAGAAACCAATCTATGTAGTACAGAACATTTAGCTTAATGAACGTTGTCGACTTTGTCCCGACCGCATCAATATTGGATAAGCTCGGATACTGTAATCTTATCCGCATTATCTTAGATCGGATTGGTCAGCCGATTGTGTTTTTTCATTAGAGATGATTATATAAGTGGGTATTATTATATAGATCCGTTAAGATGGAAGTCTTTCTTTTGTTGTTAAAGAATTTGCTTACAATATTATACGTAATTGTATAAAAGGTGTTTGTTTTATGGAGACACTGAGTAAAAATAATGATGTATTTACATATTTTTGTAACTGCCTATAACTGCTTGTAACTGCCTACTATCAATATTTATAGGAGCTACTAGTCCGTTTGTTAGTTTACTGTTTAAGTATTTTAAAGCAATTTTATCACAGTCATTTGCTATATGATACGTATAGGACACGTTGCATTATCAAAATTTTCAATGTAAGCAAAGAGTCTATTTGTATAGATTGACCTTACATGTGTTGTTGCAAAACATTTCATGAGAAAACGGTTTATGACCTGAAATTCTCGAATTGGCCAACACATGCGTTGTGATAAACTTAGGTCTAAAACCTAAGTAACTATCTTCATTAATAGGTATGTATGAATGTATGTAGTGTAGTGGTCGGTAATTATTGTGCTGGAACACTCAATACCTCGTAAGGTCCATTTAATTCGGCGTTGTACTTGTCAATTAGTGTTCTCTCAGCGGTAAACATCAGACAGTTACACACTTGGGCATTCTGGATAATAGGTATCCTACACATACTAGCTATTGTGGCTACTAATGTCTAATTCAAGTCTAGAGTCTAGCGAGACTGTCGCTAGAAACAATTTCAGGGTGATGTTGAACTGAATTTCGATATTGTAAGCGAAAATGGAACCAATGTCTTCATCGGCCAACCTTCCTTTTAACTAAATGACAATCGACAAATATCTATTGAAAAATATTATTAAAAAAGAAAAAATACAATCATTGACTTTCGAGACTATAAATTAAATTAATCTTCAAGAGACAAAGTGATGTCAGGAACACTGGCAGTAATCAACACTTACAATTCGAATAACGCGGCATATTAATCATCTAATAGAAAAAAATATCGTGTCTAAGACAATAGGAGATCATGAGCAAAGATAATAGGGGAAATATAATTCACGGGCAGAGACAACGCTATTTTCCTGTGGCCAAACAAACTTCGACACTATTGTTGATAAAACAGTAACACCCTCTATTGCCTCAGGGCATTTCTTCCCGAACATATTTTTCCTTATGTTATCCGTTAAATGGGTCCCAAAGATGTCTACAGTCACTTTATACGATCAGGTAGACAGAACCCAAGACCCTTTGATGTATTTTTAGAATCAACTACCTAATATCAAAACCTTTTCTAAATTAATAATTAACTTTTGATCCTTTTAGCTTGTCAAAATTGTCAGTTCCATAATTAAAATTGCATCTTAAAAAAATAATTTATTAATCTTAAATTCTTCTTCCAACAGTTGTATTGCGTAGTCGGGTTGAATCTTTTAATAAGTTCTCAATTATCTTTGATGTCTACGACCCTTTTTACCTTTGACCCGCGCTTATTCAAAGGTCCTTTGCTGTCCGGCGACTTCAAAGTGAACTATCTCTAAGCTAGCTTACCCTTTGTGCGACTAGCTGGTAATCCGGACATTGTCTGGCTCAAATTCCTATTTGACAGATGTTTTTTGGTCGCGTCAAGTATTTTGCCGTACCGTACTTAACCTAATTGGTCTCGCCCTGACGACTTGTTTGACGTAATACATCTCCGCGCTGCTATTTTCGCTTACAAACTTGAAAGTAAGTGATCTGACCTGCTTGGAACCTTCGCGTTCGTTGAACTAATGGTATTTGTGGAGGATGATGATATTATGTAAATACTTTGTGTAAGTCCCATGTGTATTGTGTACCGATTTGTTTTACAAACTTTATCTCCACATCAATATAGATAGGTGAGTGTTGGAAAAAGTTAAATCGAGGGTCGAAATCGTTTGAAGCTAGCGAAGCTTTGGTTAAATTACCCAATCAACATATAAAGTGGCTACTCAGTAAATGGCGCTTGGATCCAGTCACTAGAGATAAATGAATGTCACTGATTAGATACTAAAAGCTCAGTAATCGATTCAGCTGTTTGCCGGCCACAGTTAATTTTAACAGTGTGATGACAAACTATCACGCGTGCCTATCAGCATTGTGCGGTAAAGTGCCAATTACCCAGAGCACACACACACACACACACACACCACATAAAATGTTACTACTTACTGCTTGTTGTTATAACACAGCGCCCCGCGCCGGCTCCGTAGGTTTCAAACGACCAAGTAGCAACAATCTGAGCATGAAACTGAAAGTAATTCAGTATCAATAGCATTCATAAAAAAATGTATTTGGAAAAATAAGTAAAGAAAAACCAGCCAAAGAATATGACCCTGGTACCGAAAACCGAACTGTTTTCCCCATTACGCTTTCCACAACAATGACAATAAACTATGACACGATGGCTCCATTTCGGGTGTTTTTATTTTTTCGGGCTAAACTCACATGCGTGGTCGATATTATTTGTGTTTTTAACATAGAAATTGGAGTGCGATAGTTTTCACAGAGCGCCTCACTGCCGACTCGAGCCATTGTTGTGGGAGAGCTTGACTGAGCTGTATCAGTGGAAGTCATCAGCGTGATTCGGTACATTAGGCAGTTCAATTGCTGTCAAAGCAGTAACACGTTTCTGGTGGCGTTTGGGAGGTACCAACTCATTATGTTGCTCAGTCGTGCGCCCGAATAAACAGCGGCGCGTCGCGCGGCCTCGGTTGAAAACGCGCAGCGGCGCGGCGCGCGGCGGCGGTCGTATCGATGCGGATAACGTCCACCAGTAATTGCCCGCCCGGATTTTATTTCAGTAGATAATACCAACAATGTAGGACCATAATAGCGCTCTTCGATTTATTCAGATTAAGCGATTATTAACACTTTTATGGCAGGTCTATTTTTAATCAAGATATTTTCTTTTCACTTAATTTTCACATTATTTCAATATTGTTTCTCTCATCAAAGAATTCTATATCAGTTATATTTGCCTCTATACTATTTTTCCGTCAGTACAAACATGTCATAGATGTGTAAGTATTGTCAAAGCCCGATGTCCATTGAGTTCGCACTACGATCACAAGTTCGCGTGCCAAGCATTTTGATTACAGTATTATCCCAAAAACTTGCTTATTGTGCCGTACTTATATGGGTTAAATCCGTACTTCGAGGCCATGTACAATATACGCTGTATATAAACGTTCTTTGTACAATGTAATGTGTTATGCGGTCGTTTTCAAAGTTATCAGTAATTATATTAGCACCTTATTATACAAAATTACTCTACAAAGCAGCTTGCTACAGAGTTTATATACCCACAAGAAGTAATTGGTTAATTTAAGATAAGAATTTGTTTTCCAAAGCACTTGTAGCACAAAGAAAACGGGGTAGAGTGTAAACTTACGTAGCTACCTAAATAAACATGTTGGTGTATTGCGCGGTAATTAGTTCGCTGGCTGACGTTAACTTACTGCTTAGAACAGCAAGAATGTATTGAAAGCGGCGCAGGCGCGGGCGCCATCTTTACAAATGCTCAGTGTCGCCGTCCTCATAGTTTTTAATTAACGCACGATTCTACAGAATTCATATCCAATGTGATAATTTCGAGATTTGTTTTTGGTGGTTGTAAACGAGTACGACATTCAGGATTATGATCTAGCGATGGACAAAGATATTTAAATATTCTTAGCATAAATAATAAAATTGAGAATTTTCACTAATAATGACGTTGTACTTTAGGAAGTCGTACTTAAATCGGATTATGAAACTGGGAAAAATTTATACATTTATACAAATCTCTCTCTCCTTTGACAATGTTCTAAGCGTACAAAACCACTTAACAAAAGTTTAACTTTTTATAATGCAAAATAAACTATACAGGATGTAAAAAGACACTTAACGAAGCCGAAAGCAAATCATTTGTTTCTTTAAGACCATTGCTGGGTCTCCACGGGTTCTCGAGATATTGAAGGTTAAAGATGCATTTTTAAATATTTTTTTGCGCATTCGAATTCTAAGTATTGTTACAAAACTTTTTTCCAAACAAACATCACCTACCTGAATTTTCGATTTTTCTAAATAAATTACGCATTTGAGGTTACGAACAGTAATGTACGTAATAAATAAATGCAGACAGAAGTTTTACAGAATTGTTTTGTTTTTGCGAAGTAAAACGCCGACCTACGTACTTATCACAGCGTTTTCATGCTAAGCTGTGAACCTACGCACACAATGACACGAAGCCCGTTTATTTTACATTGCGCGCAATAATTTTTTTTTTGATACCTAATCGTTTCTCAGTGATAATTTTAGCGTAAAGCTACTTAGTTAGAACTGCAGTATGCGCAGTTAACGGCTTCGTTAAGTGTCTTTTTACACCCTGTATACTCAAGACCACATAATAGCAATAATCAGCGAATAAACAGTACTGCAAATGAAATTAAATATAATATAACAATTAGCCGAGAGCATCAGGCGCGAGCTTAGCCAAGCAATATTCGAGTGTGTACGACGGAAATTTGCATAGTGTACACACAGTACTGTGGCAACGTTCACAAAATGTTACGTCGCTACGTAAAACCACAAACTTTAAACAAGATTCAATTCATTCACTGCACGAAGATGAAAATGGAAGAAGCTAAAATGGCAGGAGATTGCAACGTGATAAAACGGAATAGAAAAAAGACGACAACGCATTCCATCGGCTTTAGCAACCGCTCGCAGCACGAGGTGAACGTTTTGTTCTGTTCCACTAGTTCCACCAAACTCAACGCTGTTGTGATGAATGAACGGTAAATGCCCACAAAGTTACGAATTCAATATTTCAACAAAGTCCGCGGAAACAATGAAAGTATTGTTCATTTTTCTTTCGTTTAGACTACGAGGAAATGAAAGTTTTACATCATTTAATGTATCATCATCTAGGGGCGGTTTCATAAATAACTTTTTCTACAAATCAAACAGTACGAAGTTAACACGCACTGCTCAAATATAATATATTATTATGTGGGTAAAATAAATTCCATGCAACTAAAAATTAATGAAAATTTCCGGTAGCGTTCAGTGAAAGCCACAACTTTGTTATAAACTTCTTGTTTGTATGCCGATAGGGTTCAATTTCGCGTGATATTAAATAAACATTTGAAAATCGCAGCAACAAACCACAGGAATTGCGTGGGCGTGCTGTTGTTACGATATTTATCGCCATTGTGTGGCCTCCTCCCTGTATGGAACTATATATAGCTGCAAGCTACAGTGATAGGGATTCGGAGTTGCGATAACACTTCTTGTAACCAAAAAATCAAAGGATTTGTTTAGCTAGCAAGTATATGTAGCAGTTGAATGCTTTAAAACTTCCTCGAAATAAATGTCTTTTAAATCAGAAACAAAACAAAACATTACTTCTCACTTTGCCACCTTCAGTATAATTTCGAAAACTGGGAAGCTTGTTCGTAGTTAGGAAACGAGTAAATAAACGTTATGTATGAGCAGCCATAGTTGCACGAGCAATGAAGCTGTTTTAGTTTGTATCGTGTTGTTTCCGCCCGGGGCACGTAGGAAACAGTTTTGCCCCGTGATGTCGCCTAATTTAGACAGCTGTCCTAAAGTCTACCATCCTAATTTGGCACTATACTGTTTCAGAGCATGACTGTGTTTCTAATTGGCTTTCCGGACTCCCTAGCGACTTAATAAAAGATACTAAGTTTCTTTTTGCTCCCTTGTTCCGTGAGGCGCCTTCAGCCTGAATAAACTCTGATTGTATGCCAGCAACCAATTGTTAACCTAAAAATAAAGACCCTTCCGCTGATAAAGGTATTGTTAATGGCACACAATTGGAACTCAATCAGGTTTAAATTCCTTTTTGAGTACATACTTCCCATGTACACATTATAAATTTCAAGTGTTCGTAAAAAATAGAACACGTCATTTGAATTTTTGTTTTTCGAATCTGTCGCTCAAGCTGTGTATGTGATTCAGCCAGTGTTGGCTTTTGATATTAATGTTAGGACTTAAACTCGCAGAAGTTGAACATGCGTAACCCAGATACGCAAAACTTACATAATATGTATACGCGTTATTCCTATATCTTGAGCGAGTAGACGGTAAAAGAAAGCAACATCTCGATAATATTAAATATTCTAGTCACATATTCCACGAAATAATTATCTGTTTAATAATGTAATATGAATAACCCTCTTACTTATAGTAGACGTTGACAATGACATTGATAGTTCTAGTGTTACAATAATTAGTATGACTAATTAGAGTTAATTAATTATACTACAAAGCTTAACTGCCATAAAAACTGAACCAAAGTTTAATCGAGATTAAAAAGCGTCCCATAGATTTCGTTGAGGCTGAATTTTTTTGAAGACCCTTTTATTAACTATATTGTAATAGACAATGTGATCGCTAAAAGTCGACGCACAATAGAATTTGCGAAGTCAGATTGTCTCTAAGGACGATTTAAGAAGACGCATTCTCATATAAGTTTAAGCTGACCTTGGGGCTAGGTTTTGCCTCGCATTTACTTTAAGTTATTTCGTAAGGATTGCCCGGGATTTAGAAGTTTTATTTTCTCCGTTTATCCGTCGACAAAGAAACTGGATTATATGAAGCAGGTAGGTACTTAGTTTCAGTCATGAGGATTTGTTGAAACTTCTTCTTTTTACGAGTATTATTATTTGTGTTGAATTTGTACAGGCTGTTTAGGTATATCAATGTCTCAAACCTCAATAAGTACTTGAAAATCCTTTGTTCTTTAAATGTTTAAATAGATTATAGATTTAGAAAACATTTTTCATATCGTGGGATAGTTTTCATTCGGATAGAAATTTTAGAATAAGGTTGATTTGAAGCGATGAAGTAGGTAGCTGGCAGCGGGTGGATGAGAAGAGCTGCGAGTTCAGTGGCGTGCAATTGAGGAGGCCTATGTCCAGCAGAGGGATGATATCAGAATGTTGATGATGAAGCGATGAATTGGCAAAACTGCTAATATCCTCCTATCGTTAACAAAATGTATTAACACAATTATCGTCAGTAATTGCCATTTTAAATTGTAACAGGAATGTTTAAAAAAAAAAAACAAAAACAGAACGTTTAGATCCTCATTTTCGATGAAACATTATATTTAATTCATAAAGTACACAGAATTGGGTTATGTACGAACATTTCTAACAAAAAGGCCTTACAGCAAAAAGGTTTTGTTCGAACATTCTTTTGTTGGTATTTTCAACCTAATTTGCGTACCTAAATGTGACTAAATGTCGATCATACATCAGAAGATTCCCGCTTTAAAAAATATCTTGGCCTTATTGGTATAAACTTTAAACAAACACGAAGTTAGATAGACATTTTGTGATCTACACAAAATGTCTATCTAACTTCGTGTTTCGCGAGAATCAAAAGGTCAAAACTAGTATAATTACAGAAAATTAATAGTGTTTTAAATGAAATTTCATATAGACATAGATTATAGTCCAGAATAACACATAGACTCGGTTATAGAATGTGTTAGTTTTTCTTACGTCTAGAAAAAATTGTTTAAAAAATAAACTTCTTCAAGAGCAAGTATTAATCTCGAAGTCATTTTCCAAAACTATTTGCAAAGGTTATAAATTTTTCAAAGTACACAACAACACGTGGAGAAAATTCAGCAAACAAACTGCATATTTTTAAAAATGAAATTCTTACTACCGTGCTTCATCGAGGAACTCTAGGGATTTTAAAAATAAAACTTTATTCTAGTATGTTCCATGCTTTTAGTAGTAACAACGTGGGACGCCAGTCGGAGTTTATTCTGATACATACACTTAGGCTCTGCGCTTGTAATGATTTTGAGGAACGCGGAAATTTCAAAGCAATCATTTTATTTACTACATGTACCTACAAGATGTGATGGTGCCTAGCGAAATATAATTAACTATACTATACATCCATGATGTTTATGTACTCGATTTTGAACATTTACTTTTGTTTAATTCTAAATATTTAAACATAATTCTTTTATATTAAATTTACCTATGTTTCATCTTAAAGTAAGTAGATGCTCGTAAATACACGAGCATTAACTGAAATATACAACTTTATCACGCAAACTGATTAAATGGTTGTAGTTGACCAAACGATCTGTTTCTTATATTATAAATTCAGTAACATACGTAACCCTATAAAATATTATGAAAGAGTAAACTAAAATTTTATTACAAGGCAAGTTCAGGTACGTAGGCAGGTTTTAAGCAAGATAAATCTGTAGTACCGTTTAAAGACGGCGTGCCTACCCTTAGTAATTTTGCTGCGAAAAGGTTTAGTTGGTCGGGTTTAGCTTTTGTGTCAAGGGAGATAATATTACGTCGAGAGAAGATAGGGCAAAACCGCTATCAGGGGTTCAAGTAACTTGCGGCAAAACAATAAAAAAAAGTTAAAAAAGGGAATGTTTGTCATATTTTTATGATGTCAGAGGGATGATAGCGATATATATTTATATATAAAACATGGTGATAAATGTGCGTTGGAATGATTAGACAGATGCGACACTGATAAATGGCATTGTAAGGACGCTGAACATCTGTTATTCACAAGAATAAGATAAATACGTCGTGTTTTTGTTACATGAGCGCTCGCCACTTTAGGGACTCATTGGGCAGATAGTTTACCTTGTATTGTTAGGAACTATTTACATAGGACACATACCAAGTTTTGCTAGACACCTAGGTACTCCACATTCTTATACCGAACATATTGGAAGACAACAACATCATTTGTAAAACTAATAGAGCATGGAGAGTGCCACTATATTTTTTTTTTAATAATATCTTGATTAATTCGCCATCTTGACATACATATCATGTAATTACAGATAGATAAGGGACAGTTCATAATCCTCTATTATCCGGTTTTCCTTAATTAGTTTAGGATCTCACTAATTGTAGTTTAGTTAGGCAGGACTGGGTAAATGTCATTGACAGTGAAACATAAGACTACTCGTAAAAATAAGGAATACGCAAAAATAATAATAACAGTAAACCGTAACAGTATGACAATAATGCGAAAATCCCTTAACACAACAGATTTACTTAATCGAATTGTGACCCCCAGCTATTGTCTCTTCCAATTTTGAACCGTTAATATCTTGGAAATGAGACCCGAAAATATTTTTAACTTGTTTAATTATTTTCCGACTTTTGTATGTTTAGAACGAAGCCAGTCTCGCTGGAGTACCGAAAATTTTTCGCCAAAATTTTTAATGTTATGGAAATAGAATTTAAAAAAAGAATTCGCTTGGAACTCTGTGGACCAGTTGAAGGTATTTGCGCTGCGGCAGTATACAAGTACTTTTTTATTTTTACATACCTACATAATATAAGGAATTTCATATGTATTTATGTACGTGATTACAAAACTCACTTAAACTTACACATAACATACACATGTTTTAATAGTGAAGTTATTTGTCTTATTAGGCTACATCAATTATAATCATATTTTGTCCTATTCTGTACAAAACAATCTTTAGCTAACAAATTATTCAGTGAGGCAATTAATATTGATATCTAAAAGCACAAACATGTTTTAAACATTTCAGAAATAGATTACTTAAGTAACGAATAAGTACGAATAAACTCCAAGTAGGTAGGTAATAAGGAAAAACTTTGGGAAAATGTGAAACGAAATCGTTTTCAAAGGAATATAGCAATCAGCTTATATTATCACTCATTTGGACACCGATGAATAGCTTTATGTGAAATGTTTAACTTTGATTAGCATTTTAATGTTCTGTAATGTTGGATTT